CTGTAGCAATGAAACAAATGATGAATACACTAAATCTGAGGCATTTTTAATATTATTATCATTATTATTCCTTCAAATCCTATCCCGCTATTCACTGACTAAAGAATACACTAACACAACACAGCAAGAGTGCAGACACTAAAAACAATGTTCAAGTATTATTGAACGAAAATAATGGATTCTAAATATACATGCAACAATCCTACAGCAGCTCAAAGGGGCCACTTTTTAAAATATTTGGAATCCAGTAGTATATGGATCCGAAAATAACTTATGCAGCTGAATTTTAATGTGTTTTACTGAACATTACTAACAAACTTGACATATTCTAATCTACACCAACTAACCAGATTATTTTGTGTGTTAGTGCTTTTGCTAAAGCTCACAGTTCGGCTTTACTGTATAAATTTCACGGCACAAAAATTATTGCCATATCATGGGAAGCAATGCAGTAAGCCTCATGGTCTTGCAGCGAAGTCCACAGGACTCAGTCTATTCGTTTTCCCACAAGTTTTTCTCGAAAATCCATCTTCAAATATATATTGCAGTGCACTTCTGTCCGTGTCCATCAAACGTTTATATTTGTATCCTTTCAAAATGTTATTATTGCAGTGGCTCACAATGACAACTCCGTCCATTCAGAAATTGTGTTCAGATATTTGACAATGACATTTTGATTTATAACATTAGAAATTGGCTACTGCCCCCCCCCCCAAAAAAGCCAATCAGAACACATGGGAATACTTAATAAAGAAACCACAAGTGTAGAAACAGCCAAGTAACAATAATTAAAATGATAAACTCACCTGAAGGGTTTTTTTTTCTGCACTTACTGTTGTGTCCTGTGATTGGCTGGCAACCGGTTCAGGGTGTCCCCCGCCTACTGCCCTAAGACGGCTGGGATAGGCTCCAGCACCCCCCACGACCCTTGTGAGGATAAAGCGGATCGGAAAATGGATGGATGGATGGACTTACTGATGTGCTTAAAGTCTGTGGATTGTCTCATCTGATCACAGGTTGAAGGGGGAAAGCATCTTGGCCGGTGTCATTTACGGTATGCCAGCATGTCAAGTTCTGTGCGTTTACTTGACCACAATGCTGCCCAAAATTGAAAAACTGTGTGATCAATTATTGAACGAAGGGAAAGCCAACTCAATTTTTCTCATTCTTGGTTATTTTCTCGAAGCTGAATACAAACGACTGGGATAGAATAAGTTGGAATCGGTTGATGGGTCATTCCATGCCAACAATACCTGTTTTTTGAAGATTGACCCAGTAGTTCCTGAGGTATGAGGTTTCAAAGGAAGGGTGTCAAGTCCCTTTTTGCCAAAAATGTCAAAATTGGGTAGGCCATTAACTCCTAAACCCCAGCTCTGATTGACCTACAATTTGAGATTTAGTGTTGTGCCATCACTATTGACGAGTACACTTAATTTCACTGAAATTAAATAAATAAATAAATAAATAACGCTTGGTTAAAACCCTATAATGCCATTTGTATCATATTTGATACATGCATTTTCATTATTTAACTCATTCTTTATATTACATTAAATCATCTGTATCAAATTTGATACTACAGGTTTAAAATATGATTTTCCCAAATTATCATTTTCAGATGTAATCTACATAATGCTTATAAATGTGATACGACAAATATCTAAAACAGCATGATATGGCAAAAATATTTTTGTGGATTTTGTTATAATTAATGAACATCTCAGTTCCCAAAAATCAGATTTTTCTGGCTATTCCTTGATGGGTCAAGCATTACAGGGTTTTAAGCCTATTGTGCTGCAATTCCTTAGATGAGAAAAAGTAAGAACAAAGGGGGAGTGGGGGGAAAAGCAATTCCCAAACCATGCTTCTCTTTTCTTTTTTTCTTTTGGACGATATGGGGGAGGGGGGACTTGTATACTAAATGCATCCTTGTGACAAGTGGGGTGTATGCTCTTTACTTGGCTGTGACTTGAGGTGCCTCAGGCTGTTCCAACAAAGATGACAAAGGTAATAGGCTGTGGATTTGGGTGAGGAAGGTGAGGAGCAGATAAGGAGTGAGAGTCAATTTCAATCGCGCTTAACCTTATGGAGCTTCGAACTGTATGTATCTATGAAAACAAAAGAAAAAAACAACAACAACAACAAAGAGCATCTCAGTGAGTGAGATGCCCAATTGTATGACTGTCTCCACGAAAGACTGTCATTTCACTCTTTCTTTATCAAACTTGCCAACTGTGGAGAGATAATAATTTCACTGAATTTCCTCACATCCTTTTCAGGTTTTCAGTGTGTCATGTAGACCTGCCCCCTATATAAGGCAATTACTCTTCCAAGGAAAGGTTGGGCATCAATCAGTCTGACATGAGGCAATATTGCAGAAGGCTTCCCCCTGTATGCATGACTGGAAACTTGACAGAGTTCCATCGCATGACAGGCCAAGAATTCAATGTTCAATTGAATTCTTGGCCTGTCAATTTGTCAATTCAATCTTCAAATGTTACGTTACTTAGGATTTGGGTACTATATTTTTGACAAGGTAAGTCCAATGCACTGCGTATGCAGTTCAGATAATGGATGGATGGATATTATTGTCTCTGTAATTTTTTTTAAAAAATGGTTTGCTCATTTTACTAAATTTTATTTAATCGGGTGGCTGCACAAAATAAAACCATCTGGATCCGGATTCATTTCTGGTAGATGTACAGTCTGCTTAAAAAAATTTAAAAATAAAAAACCTTAGCTGCTAGAAAAAAACAGAGGTAATAAAATGTTAGTTCAGAGTTTGTCCTTTGTTTTTTTGCATGTATGTTTACAAAGGCAAAACTATCTCGATTTAAAGTTGACCATAAATATAAGCAAACACACCATAAACCATTAGAACCAAGCAACCAATATGACTGGAGCATGCATCTCTGACTACTCAAGTTAAAAAAAGTCTCCTATTTCCTCTCACGCTCTCTTTCTCATTTGCTAATTTAATATTTGGGGATAAATGTTAGCCCAACTACATTGTCAATTATTCAGCAAGTGAATAGTCAGCAGTTTCAAGTGGGATGAAAAACTAAATGAACAGTCCTTGGAAATTGTAACTTCAGTTAAAACATACACATTTGTTGTTTCACATTTGAATGTTCGGCAGATTAAAAAGCTGTGAGGATGGAGAATATAAAAAAACCAAATCACCTTAGTATTCATATGAAGTCCCAGGTCACGTGACCCATTAGAACTCGAGATTAACAATGGTTGGATGCATCTGACATGGTCACTAATCTGAGAGCATGGGACAACAGATGGTGTTTGAAAGACGTAATTTGACAATGGCGTTTGTGTAACCATTGGATATTTTTATCCGATATGATGACAGTGTTAGGTAAAAAATCATCACATACTGTTATTATGTTACCACTCACCACCTATGAGGCTAAACCCTCTCACACTTTTAAGAATTAGTAACTCCATTCAACTTTTGGTATCTCATCCAAATTGGAGTAGGCCTACTCAATTTTATTGATCATAACTTAGAATGTATGAGGTTTTAATGGGCACAGCACTGGCGCCTTATGGTACCTATCTTAGGGTGGTCCTACTTTTTGGACATTTCTTTCGGTACACCTGCTGCATTTACTATACTGTACATTTCATACAAGAGGTGAGGAGACGTGCTGGTTGCCCAGAGTGTAGAGCATAAAAATCGAAACAATGTAAAATGAGACATCACAATCACTGACCGGCTGCAAAATTGCGGACCCAAACAGAATATGAATGATACACAAATAAGGAGAGGCGCATGAAATGGATGCTTGGTAGTATGACAAGCCAACATGCAAACTCCACACAGGAAGGCCAGGGCACGGAACAGAACCCATATCCTCTGCACTGTGAGGCAGACATGCTCACCAATCAACCACCATGTCACTCCTATTGTTGTTGCTGTTGTTGTTTTAAATTATTCTAAGGCAACCCAATAAACCAAACATTTTGTTCTATTTACTTGGAAAAAATCCCTTCTACAAACCTGATGAAATATGTTTGGTTCCCACCCTTTTCTCTGTTTGCAACATACATTAAATTTACCCTCCTCATAAGAGGGCTCTCGTTGATTAATTTTTATTTATTTATTTATTTATCGATTTTTTTTTTTTTTTTTTTTTTTTTTTTTTTTTTTTTTTTTTTTTTTTTTTTTTGTGGAAACTTAAACAGAGGAACATTTGGGAATGTCTGTTTTTGTCATCGTTTTCAGTTCAGGTTAGCTGTGGCCACTAACTTTTCTGCCATCCAGGAATACTGTAATGTTTCCACACATATTATGACGAGAATGTCAGCCACTTTTAATTGGTGTACACGATTTTAATTTTGCTGCATATATTTTACAGCGGGCGGCCCGGTGCACCAGTGGTTTGCGCGTCAACCTCACAGTGCAGAGGTCGTGGGTTTGATTCCGGCTGCGGCCTTCCTGTGTGGAGTTGGCATGTCCTCCCCGGGCCTGCGTGGGTTTTTCTCCGGGTACTCCTGTTTCCTCCCACATTCCAAGAACATGCATGGCAGGCTGATTGAACACTCTAAATAGTCCCTTGGTGTGAGTGTGGGGGTGGATGGTTGTTCGTCTCTGTGTGCCCTGCGATTGGCTGGCAACCGATTCAGGGTGTTACCCGCCTACTGCCCGAAGATGGCTGGGATAGGTTCCAGCACCCCCGGCAACCCTTGTGAGGATAAAGCGGATCGTAAAATGGATGGATGGATGATATTTTACAGTGCAAGTTATTGACTAGTGTTTCCATGATAGGAGCTTTGTCATGACACTTTCAACTCTGATTCATCAATTTATGGTTTTTGAATTCGATAGACAATGTGGGTCGCTTCCAAAGGCTCCACATCTTTGAGTGAGTGAGTCTGCTGCTGATTTGGTGCTGATCTGGTCAGCTCCTGAGCGGCGCCGGGCAGTGGAGGATCTGGTGAGGGCGGGTCTAACAAAGAGCTCCAATCAATTCAGCCTCTGACGTCACAGCTCGGAGCAGAGAGACAGCAGCCGAGGCGAACGCAACCGTTTTGGCTAAATCTGCCTTCTTAGGCGTGGAGTTACCTGCTGTATGACGTGTTTCGGCCGGCCGCAGCCAAAGGGATCCTGGGGAAACACGGTTGGTTTATTGATGAATATGACGTTTTGGCAATGTTTTGCTGCTGGGATTGAAAAGCGACGTGCCCAACGCGAGTGTGCGTGATGCCTTCATGCAAATGCGGCAGTGTCCCACCGTCTTCGAATGAAACTGTCTCTTTTTGGAAGAATATGCTTAATGGATGTTTTTGCAGATCCAATGAGATGTATTATTCAATTTTGGCCTCTCCTAAAGTAGATTGTGATCTGGTCACGATTTATTTATTTTGTAGTTGCGTGCCTGTAGGCGACGAGATCATTAGAATATAGTTTAATCTCGGTTTAGGATGAACACATATCCCGCGCCTAACTGGATACAAAGGCTTTTGGCTCATCACATCCATTGTAAGCGTCTTTCAAGATGAGTCCTCGGATCCCTCTGATCAATTTAAAAGTGGCTTTTACACAGTTCTGTCACTGAGGTGTGTGCGTTTCCCCTCTTCCCTTTGAAGCACACACCTTTGCGCACAAATACACTGCGGAAGTCTCGTTTATTAATCAGGGTTATTGAATTGACATGCACGATTTTTACTTGTCTCATTAGGGATGCTGTGCAGCATTACAGAAGTGGGAGGAAGACGGAATGCGAGCGTGACCGAATGGCTTCTCCGGTGCTGCCTTTAACAAGAGACGGTGAGAAGCAGCCACATTCTCGTGCCGTCCTGGAACGCCTCTCAGCTGTGCTGCACGTCCGCAAGCAGGGCGAATCAACCGGAGGGGGGTCCCTCGGGGATGCCGGTTGTAACCCGGCCCGGAGATGCCATGACCGGTGTCATTCAGCTGCGAGGCGCTCGGAGGTCAAACTGCGTCCTTTTGGGGAGGAGAAAGTGCGCGTCTGCTGTGACGAGGAATTGGAGACATCTTTCACCTATATAGATGAAAACGTCAACCTGGCGATTGGCAGCCCAGAGACAAGCTGTAAAAGTTCTCAAAAAAACGGGCGCACCTGCGAGTCGTGCTCAGAAACCGTACCAGAATTCTCTTTCATGTCTGAGGATGATCTATCCTTTGTGGAGGCCTCAGGGTCCTCAGTGGACTACTGGTTTATAAGCGCAGTCACTTTTTTGGTGACGGGCATCTCTTTGGTGATCATCTCCTACGCTGTGCCCCGGGATGTGGTCGTGGACAGGGACACTGTCTCGGCCAGGGAGATGGAGAAAATGGAACTGGAGAATGCGCGCATTGGAGCTCACCTGGACCGATGTGTCATAGCAGGATTGTGCTTGTTGACTCTGGGAGGGGTTGTCCTCTCCACGCTGCTCATGATCTCCATGTGGAAAGGAGAGATGTATAGGAGAAAAGTCATTGCGTATTCTAAACGTTCCGCCAAACTGTATGGTTCCATTAGCCTGAAAACTAAATCCAGTCCCAGTCACTCCTCTGCACACTTGTCCCTTGAGGATATTGTGGAAAGTTTGAACTAGCAATGCACAGTTTTGTTTCAAATGACGGGCTTCACACACATTTTCATCACATCTTCACCTTGGATGTGGAAGTCTGCAATATTTTAGTTTATGCTGTCCACTCAGAAAAAGGCCATTTCTATTCTTCACTTTTCTGGGTCGAGCGTGAGCTGAGCTGGAGCCTGTCCGAGCTGAATTTGGACAGGAGGCCAAGTCCACCCTGAACCGGTCATCAGCCACTCTCAGTCATTTAGTCCAAGTGAGTGACATACGTTTACATTTTATTCACAGATCATACTACTCAGTACGTTTTCTCATTTACTAGTTGGGTATAATGCAATTGTTTTTAGACATGACAAGAAAACAGCTCTTCTTCATGACGACACCTACAGTTACAGAAATACAACAACTTCAGAATATGCTAAAATAATGGCCCGTGTAATTTTTTAATTTTTTTTTTATAAAAACAGACTCAAATTCTGATTAGATTATATTACCAGTTTAATTTCGGGGGAAGAAAGGAATTATCTTTTTAACTAAAGATGGAGGTGTATTTAGCAGAGCGAGCATCCCGAGGAGCTTTTAAGGCCAAAAAAAAAAAAGAAAAAAAAGAAGTCAAATTATGGCTTATGCCATTGCTTTAAGAGGCTGGTGATATTTTGCTGTGTAAATTACATTCAGAGGTAATTCAACTCAGTATAATGCATTCTGGTAGGCCCAGGAGCATTTGGACAAGTTTAGCAAGAAGTACTCTGCATAAAACAGTTACAGTACAATTGCGAGCTGGTAAACTCCATACTTTGCAAAACCTACTCCATATTAGTAATAACATCTTATATACATCAATTTTCTATACCGCTTGTCCTCATAGATTTGTGGACGAGCTGGAGCCTATCCCAGCTCATTTTGGACAAGAAGTGGAGCATACCCCGGTCAGGTCACCAATCAACAGCAGGATATGTATCGATTTAAAAAAAAAAAAAAACATTCTCAGTCACTTTCACATTTATAGACACGTTTAAGTCTTCAGTTAACCAAACATGTTAACATGAATTTTTTTTGGGAGTGCCGGAGAAAGCCACAGAAACCCCACACAAGCTTAGGGAGACTACCGTTGCTGTCCTGTGAAAAACACGTACAGTCAAACCTCGGTTTTCGAACGTCTCTGTTCTCGACCAAATCGGTTTTCGACCAAACATTTCGAGTTTTTTATGCCTCGGATTACAACCGAAAATCGGTTCTCGAGCAAACTGAGCGCACTTGAATGCGCCACTTGACTCCTCTCGCCTTCCTTACACGAGGAAGTGACGCTTCCTCGGGTAGACGAGGAAGTGACACTTCCTCGTGTAGCGTTCCATTGTGAGCAGGCGTGTTCAACAAAGATTTTTTTTTAGAAGAGCGTGGTTTCGGTTTTCGAACAAATCGGTTTTCGAACAGCCTTCTGGAACGGATTATGGTCGAAGACCGAGGTATGACTGAATGTCCATTTATGCCATTTTGTGAATGTTAATTGGATGTCCGAAATGCAGATACCCTATTAAGCCCAGAGATGAGATTTTAACCGAGAAACTGCGAGGCAGACATCCCAACCACTAGACCAGTGGTTCTTAACCTTGTTAGAGGTACCGAACCCAACCAGTTCATATGCACATTCACCGAAACCTTATTAGTGAAAAACAAAAATGTGACTTTTTACAAATTCAAGGCATAAAAAAGGCATTTATTAAAAACAGAAAAAAGTAAACATATTTTCAAGACCGAAGTATAAGTTTATTTTTATTTTTATTTATTTATTTTTTTAAATTTTGCGACTTACTATCACGACAGTCACACGTTGACTGCTGAGCGAACTAAATTTCCCCAGCACTCATTGGACAAGCAATATACCGTAATGTGATCATCTGCAGCCAGTGATGGCCAAGCGGGCGTGTCATAACTAACTGACATGTTGAGTCGGGTGTGTCTTAACCTCCATGGCAGTGGCTCTGTCGAACCCGAGACCAATTCACCGAACCCCTAGGGTTCAATCGAACCCAGGTTAAGAACCACTGCACAAGACCATTAACAACATCTTAATACTTCCGTCTTAAATCAATTGCGATGGTGTGTGAAGATAAAGTCAAATCCATTTGTCACATAATTCTGAATCTAACTATATTACAGGCCGCAAGCACAATTTGGGAATCAGATAGTAGTAGTTGAAAAAAGGAGCAGCTCTGCTTCATTTCATTTTCAGGGTAAAGTATTTTCGATCGAATATACGGTTCATATTTGGCATTTCATTCTACAGTTGATAGCCTCTTACAGAGCCAAATTTAGAGCGGTGGGTGGTGATGTTTTGTTTAAATGTTCTGATTTTCATTCTCAAAATTTTGAGCATCTTTATGTTCCGTGGAATGTGTTATATAAATATTTGCTGTTATTACTGAGGAGTAAAACAACATGATCGAAAGGTACCGCAATACCACTATATGGCTCCTTCTGACGTGACCTTTACAGCTTGGAAACCTCTGACTCCACTGAGTTAGCCTCATGGGTTATATTGTAAATTAGTATCTTGAGGGATGGACATGGACTCCTAATGTATCCTTATTTCTGACAGTGGACAGATTTGACAGTGCAGACATGCTCCGAAGAAATACTCCACAGTCGACAAATATTGTATTTACTCCAAAAGCAGCCGGGGTTTTTTTTTTTTTTTACTTACTCAAATGTACAGTAACCAGATGTCTATTTATTAGAACAAATGCCGATGAAGGTAATCAAACATGACTAAAGTAAAGTTGATTAGAGCAACGGTTTTACTACATGTTATTTGTTTTCTCGAGTGGAGAGAAAAAAGGCGTCAATCTAGGCTGATTTGTTGGTTTGTTCAAGAGGATGACAACACGGTGCCTAATTGACCAGATGCTTCTTTTTGGTGATTATACAATACGGTCAATAACTTACACTGTTCATAATTAACACTGTCACCCTAGCTTACAAAACGAGTGAAGAGCAAGCTAACTGCATTGTCACAAACACTGGAATGCTTTTTGGTCCAACGGAAATCTTGGAGAGCTTTTGTTTATTATTAAGGCTGTATTCATTTTTAATGTGAAGGTTCTGAACCGCAAAATCATACACAGACACATTTCAGGAAGTAGCCAGAGTCCCCAGAGTGGAGGTAAGTCTTCTAAGAGGTCCACTCTGTGGGATATTCTGCTCAGCGTTGTGCAAGGTAATATCCAGTGACAGTCCTTCTCTGGTGCAGTGCTGAGCTAAGCCAGTAAGCCCAGCTTGTGCATCTGAGCCAAAGCTGCAAGTCGCTTTGACTCAACTTAGCAATTTGACTGCATTGGACTGCGCACACTCCTCTGCTGTGTCTTGATCTTGTGAGCTTCTCTTTACAATCCTGCTCTTCCTGCTCTCTGGGTAATACATCATCGTCTGTGGCCCTTTGTCACTGCAAAAATGCAGCACAATGTTTATATAATGTTTTGGAATTGGGCCCTGGATGACGACAGCAGCCCGAGTATCATTTGAAAGCTGATTAGCATTTTTCTTCGGCGGAATCTCTCTCTGTCTTCTTCTCATTTGTCCACAGTAGGATGGCGATATTAACCAAATTAACGAACTGCTGAGTGTAAACTTTGCCTACAATACAATGTTGTGAAATAAATAAATTAATGCATGTAAAAAAATCTGAATTAGGTGAAACGAAGTTTGTTGATGAACATAGGAACAATGCCAAATAGAGGAAGATGAAAATCAAAATTTGTGGAGATTCTGTGTGAAAAACAAACGATTATCAGATCAAGTTTCCAGGTGACACAAATACTTTTGTTCATGTGACAAATATGGTACTCTCTCCCCCCCGCCCTCTCAAATTTAGATGAACATGTGAGTCAATGTTTTCATGACATTTTCCAATGCAGGAGAAGATTGTAGTTAAATGATGCACATATTTAGTCTGTTTTACCTATTGATGCTGCTCAAGTCTTTGCATTCATGCGTGCCAGCAGGAAATAAACAATGCCACAAGCTGCCTCTGTGTGTGTATTCGTGTGTGTGTGTGTGTGTGTGTGTGTGTGTGTGTGTGTGTGTGTGTGCGTGCGTGCGTGCGTGCGTGTGTGTGTGTGTGTG